AACAATTGCCCAGCAAGCACGCGACCTACAAATATCCATCAAGACCTTTGCCCATTGGGTCAAACAAGCAAGACAAGGCACTTTGGGCAATGTGGATGCCCATAGCTTACAGCCCGTAAACGAGAAAGATGCCCAGATAAGCCAGCTCAAACGCGAGCTGCAGCTGATGACACAGGAGCGTGATTTCTTAAAAAAAGTCGGGGCGTACTTTGCCTCCAGCCCCAAGTAAAGTACGCCCACATCATGCAACAAGCCCAAAAAGCAAGCTCTGTGTTGTCCTTGCACAGAATGTGTGCAGCCTTAGATGTCAGCATCGCTGGATACCACGCTTGGACCAAGTGTACCCAATATCTTAGCAATGTCCAAGCAGCGCAGCATACCAGCAAACACGTAGGCGACATCGCGCAAGCGGCTAGAGAGGAACACACCAAGGGACGCGGTGTTTACGGTGCAAAACGCCTGTACACAAGGCTTTGCCAACGTGGTTTTAGCTTGTCGCTATCTGGGGTCAAGCGACTGCGCCGCAAGCTAGGCCTGGTGCAGCATCACAAGAAGCGCTGGGTTTGCACCACCGATAGCAAGCATAATCTGGCTGTTGCCCCCAATTTACTGGAACAACGCTTTAATACCTGCACAGCCCCCAACCAAGTGTGGGTGGCCGATATTACGTATATTGACACGGACGAGGGCTGGCTATATCTAGCCGGTGTTAAAGACCTCTACACCAAGAAACTGGTAGGCTGGGCGATGGCACAGCATATGGAGGCGAGTTTAGTCGCGCAAGCCGTGCACATGGCCATCAAGAGAAACGCTCCTGGTACAGGCCTCATTGCGCACAGCGACAGGGGAAGTCAATATGCCAGTGACAAATACCGAAGAGTGCTTGCACAACACAGCATGCGCCAGTCTATGAGCAGGCGGGGCAATTGTTATGACAATGCACCGATGGAGAGTTTTTGGGCGAGTCTCAAAAAGGAGTGTGTGCATGGCAAGCGTTACCAAACGCGCACCCAGGCTAGAGCTGATATCTTTGATTACATTGAAACCTTTTACAATACAACGCGTCTGCATAGTGCGCTGGCTATGTCGCCACTCGAGTTTGAAGCTCAGTACTGGAGCGGGTTTGCAAAGCATACAGAGCAAGCCAGAACTGACCCCAGGGGACAGGCGTGGGGAAGGCCTTCCCCCTGCACCCCCTTCTTTATTTAAAAATTCAATGAAAGGAGTCTATACTCGCACTCACTGTATATCCTAATTTCCCCATTTGATGAGGTACGTGGTTTTGGCCCCCTTCACCACGCAATCAAGACTTTCACAGAGGGACTGTGAATACCGAAAAACCACACATTATTTTTACACCGAAATGACCGATAAAGATTCAGTGGAACAAACAGTTCGTCTATTGAGCAGGCCTATCAATTTTGCTATTGTGCAGCTACCAGGTAGGCAGTTTCCGGGTGTTGTAGTTCAGGGTGATACCCTACATGGGTTGATTGGACAATTGCATGAGATGGTTAAACTGCTCAATGCCCGACAGTTAGAGGATTTATCCTCTGAGCTTGTTGACATGAAGGATCAGTTATTAGAGGCGATTGAGCACTACGAGCAAGTATGCGTATCTCATGGCATTGACCTTCCATATGTGCGCACATAGCAAAAGCCATCTAATTTACCCTGGCCAGTTTGAAGCTATTGATCCACCCTATACGCCCATGAGCATGCAACCGTACCCGGAAGGGATTGACTGTGTTTGGCTGGCCTCAGATCGCGACGGCCATTTGGGCGCATTTATTACCGTAGGTTCTGGGCCAATACCGGCGGAAGCGCTGGATTCCGCTTATATGCCTATCGAGGATATTGAGGGTCAACTCTACCAGCTGCCACCTGTGCCGCAGGCTCAGCTTCTCGTGGCGGTCAAGCGGCCCGATGACTACATCGATTTAGCTGAAGGTGGAGTATTCGTCTACGACTGGACTGATATCAATCGGACGGCGAGCGAGGCACTGCGCGTATACGAGCCGGTGGCTGTTCCCACCAAGCCGATCACTGCAAGTTTGCTTCCCTCTGATCTGGCGGCCTTGGCCAAGGTCTTGCGGCTTGCTGATGTGGTGTTTGCTGTGGGCGGGGTCGTGAACATTCGTGCACATTTGAGTTGCGCTGAAGTGGAGTAATGCTGCAGCCAGTAGCCAGTTTCTCTATTGATAAAGAAACAAAAAAACCACCTGCAACCCCTGCCAGCCGCTAAAGCTGTGGGACTCCAATAATCGGGGTCAGATCCCAATTAATACATATAAATACAACGCCACAGGCCAAATCACAGGGCTGCAATGGAACGGCCAACCCACAGCATGGATGTGGTATTTGAAAGACACCCAAGGCAGCACCACACGCAGCGAAACGCGCAGTTACGACAGCGGTGGCAGGTTGCTGCAAACCAGCCACGACAGCTATACCTACAACAACCGTGGACTGATCACCCAAATCAACCAACAACTGCGCGACGCACCCAGTTTTGGCCCGACCAAGAATGAAGTCGTCCCCACCTATTACCAATACGATGCACTAGGGCGTTTGACCGCTTGGCGCTGGTCAGGCAGCGGCAGCACCTTGCAGCGTGGCCAAACCTACAGCTACGACGCCAACGGCAACCGCGCGGCCAGCGTCCAGCAGGGGCAGCAAACGCAATACTGGCCCATCGTAAGGCTGGATTATGACTACCGCAGCTATACAGACCCATCAGCCAGCACCACAGCCAGCTTTGGCCTGCAAAACAATCGCCTCACCAGTAGCACCCGCTCTGACGGCATCGCCGTGCAGTGGAGCCACAATGCAGCGGGCGATACGCAGCAAGAGCAGATCAGCCTAGGCAGCGCCCAAGGCTTTGCAGCCAACACCCGCGTCTTCAACAGCTACGCCTACGACAGCGCAGGGCGACTGAGCAGCCATACACAAAACAGCGCCATTGGCTCTGCGCCCCCATCGGCAGGGACGACTTTGCTGCACACCCACAACGGCCACAACCAGCGCATTTATCGGGGCAGCAACCCCACGCTAGGTACCGTCTTCATGTACGGACAAACCCCGTATCAGGTGATAGGCCAATACCAAGGTGCTCCCAATGATATACAGCGCAAGGTGCAAGAGCACATCTACCTGCCCACCCCAAGCGGCCCCATGCCCATCGCGATGGTCGATACGCAGCCGCGCATCAACTTCTTCCCCATCAGCTATCAAAGTTTTCAGCGCATCCACGCCGTAGTCAGCGATCACCTGAACACGCCAAGACGCATCTATGACAGCAAGGGCGACTTGGTATGGCAGTGGGCGCACACTGGCTTTGGCGAGGCGCATGCGCAAGACATCATGAGCTGGCTACCCGCCTCCCATGATGATGGCGTGGGCAAGAGCTATTTCCCCATCAAGTACGAGCTGCGCTTTGCAGGACAGGTGGATGATGGCAATGGCTTGTTCTATAACCTCAATAGGTACTATAATCCGCAAACAGGCAGATTCACACAAGCTGACCCGATTGGACTGGCTGGGGGGATGAATCGGTTTGTTTATGCGAAAACAACCCGCTAACCTACACCGACCCCACTGGCGAGATTGTGCCTTTGCTGGTAGGCGCGTGGATTGTTGCCGAAGCCGCTTTGTCTGCTTGGGATGCGTACGATACCTATAAAACGGTAACCAACCCCTGCAAGTCAACACTAGATAAAGCCACTGCCCTTGGCTTGTTGGCTGCGGGTGCTATCCTGCCAGGTAATTATGGGTGGGTGGATAATGCGGCGGGGGCGGTGAAGGGAGCAGCACGTGGTGGCGAAAACTTGGCAACGGCTGCTGGTAGGCAAGCACATAAGGAACTAGCAGAGCGGGTGGAACTGAAACCTGGCTGGCAATCTGAGCCTAGGCTCCTAGGTACTGATG